GGTACACGTACACAAAAGTGGTCATAAGCATTAGTGACAAAGCATGATGGTTAAGGTAACAGCGAATGGCAAAAACCCGCTCTGATTTTACACTGCCTTTCATATTGTCCTTAAATTAGAGCAGTAAATAATGTTAAAACTTTAGATGTTAGGTTTCTCCTAGAGAGCAGCTTAGCAAGATTTCCTCAATTTGAAAAAATATCGGTATGCCAAATAAAACTCACGTCTGACCATCAGACAGGGTGCAAAATATTGTGCCCACAAATAAGGTGTTTCAGGTACTATATTGTAGGTATTTGAGCAGCTGTTATCAAATGTAAACGTTTTAATACCTCTCCTCTTTGCAAGCTATTCTGAGTTAATTTTCAACACTTTACAGGGGACTTTGAGCAATTTACAATTTTTTCTCAATGAAATTTTTGCAAGTGCCTCCAATATCAGAATCAAAATACCTGGAGCTACTTTACCTTCTCTTTGAAGAAGTGTGGGGGTTCTTTTACAACCCCTGATACCCAGGCAGTGATTTGAAAACATAAATTACAACAAAATTCATATGATACCTTTCTAGCCTCTTGCTGTCAAAATTGGCTTTCTTCTCTTACCATCCTCACTGACCACACTATACATGTCAAATATGTTCAAGCACCTTTGGGGATTCCTTGGCCCCTCTTGGGTCCCCTTTTTTAAAAGAGGGCCACCAAAAATTAAAGTAAGGGGAACCCACTGGGCCTTCTTCGGCTCATTTTAGAATAAACCCTAACATGGATTAAAAATAAGAAAACATTTTACGCCCTACTACCTTGTGCGGACTGTCAAAAGTGACTTGAAACTGAAGAGCTCGTAATATCATCAACTCACAATTAGCCACACTGTCATGAAGTTCCCAATACAGAGACCCCACCTCCAGCGGGGGTCTATCGTTGTGTAATAACCTGTTAGGTAAATCAACTTCACTTATGGTTATTTGGTAATATCAACTAAGTTGAAATTGTAAATTGGCCACTGTAAAGAGTTAAAAAGCTGATATTTCGAGCGTTAGCCCTTCGGTTAGACTAGTATTGAAGAGAATGAAACAAATGGACCAAAGTTACCACACCTTTAGATATAAAACACATGATCTTTCGGCAGGAAAGGTTTGAGTTATTGACTGGCACATTTTAACCCTTTGACCCTTGAGAGTGACTAGCATCTAATTTCTCCTTACAATATCACCCCTGAAACACACATTAAAGTCATGAAAATAAAGGAAATGATCAGCGTAAGAGTGACCAGCATCTAATTTCTCCTTACAATATCACCCCTGAAACACACATTAAAGTCATGAAAATAAAGGAAATGATCAGCGTAAGAGTGACCAGCATCTAATTTCTCCTTACAATATCACCCCTGAAACACACATTAA